AATTTTTCTATTTTCTTACTGATTTTCTTTTATAATTCAAAACTTTATTATAGGTATATGCAGGAAAAAACAGAGTCCCTAAAGAGTTTGGTGCTATTTGTGCTTTCAGGCATCCCAGAACATCTTGGAAGGTGTCCTCCATTGATAATGGGGACAACTGTATGGGAAACTCACGGCAGATGAAGGCTAGTTAGTCACGTGTGCTGTGTAGACACCTCTGGTGCCCTCACCAAGATGAAGAGGGTGGTCTCTAGTGGTCAACCTTTATCCACCTTAGGGAAGAGAGGAAGAAGGACAACTTTGAAAATGTATGACCTACTTGAAGGCCAATGAGGAAGAGGAGGCCAGGGAGCGTTCCTTACATCTACTTCTTAATGGCTTTCAGGTCAAAAGAATCCTTGGGCCCAAGTGACGTGTCTTAGGGTGGCATATTCAGCAGGAGCTGACAGACTCATGATACAGGGTCACATGTGCTCTCCAGGGGGCTGAGGCCGTGGGTACCATGTAACTCCTTGTGACTGGCGTTTGGATCCCCTATTGTGCCCGTGTTAGTCTGCCTGGGCTGCAGTAGCTCAAGGCCATCGGCTGGTGGCTTACCCCACAGACATTTACTCTCTTGGTTCTGGAACTATTCTCTGGGACCCCCACCCAGCAATGGACTATGTGAATACGCAGCCTCAGAGTGTTGGAGATGTGGCCAGAGGGCCTCGGAGAGGGGAGCGGGGATTTAACGCGTGGCTCTGGATCACCTGTGTGCTCAGCAAGTGGGGACAGGAGTGTCCTGGGAGCGCAAGACAGACTCAGGCCTGTAGATCTAGAGAGGCAAGGGACGCCGAGGTCGCCAATTGTCTCAACTTACGACTGCAGTCTGGCAGCAGTGGCCTGCAGGACAAGGAGGCCTGGGTCACTGTCAGGATTGGAGTGGGGAAACTGAGGCCTCAGACCTGGAGCAGCTGGGAGCGGACAGGTGTGCTGGGGAGAGGCAGGGCCTTGGAGGCCCTGGCTGAGACCCCTGCTCCCCAGCTTCTCAGCAGCATGTGACAAGGGTCCCCTGATGAGCTGGAGGTGAAGATGCTGTGTTAGAAGGTGCTGGGGTTAAGGATGTGCCCACCATGGCGGTCCCCTGGCAGCTGCCCCCTCACCCTCAGGATTGCTGGGTGGGCAGCGGGCCCAATTCCCGGGACCAACTTGCTGAGTCATGGCTGACTTCCCATCTTGTCTGTTTCCTGGCACCCGGCAACACTCCTTCAGGCAGAGACTGGTCAGCCCCCTTGTGCAGATGGCCACTTCACCAGAAGGCCCCCTGGATTCCAGGCAACACCTAGAGTGGCCTAGGAGGCCCATGCCTCCCCGCCACCCCCCACAGATCTGGGCTTGCCCTTGGACCTGGCTTCCTCCTCTCTTTCCAAGTGACCCGGCTTTGAGTGAATTGATTACTGAGACTTGGCCTGAGCCTGCCACATGACATGGGGCAGGTGACCTGCTGTCTTGGTCTGTTCTGGGTTGTTACAACAAAATATCTGAGATTGGGTAATTTATAAAGAAAAGAGGTTTATTTTGGTTCATGGTTCTGAAGGCTGGGGAGCCTAAGAGCATGGTGCTGGTGATGGCCTGGTGGTATCTCAGGTCAGACATCAAAAGTATAATTGGGGACATGTGGAGAAGAGAGGGGACAAAGTGGGCTGGACACTACCTAACAACATGCTCTTGCAGTAACTAACCTGTTCTCCAGGCACCTACGTTAATCCCTTCGTGAGGGTGGAACCCCATGACCCAAGTACCTCTTAACGTCCCCGCCACCTCTCCATACCGTTGTTCTAGTATGGGATTTCAGCATGTGTCTTGGCAGGGGCCACCCACCGCCAAAGCACAGCACCTGCCCTCCTGGCCACGGCTTCTCATGTGTAGCACAGCGGCCCTTGGTCCAGGCTGCCCCTGCCATGCCCACTCACTGCTTCTCTGTCCCTCGTGGGGCAGCATGCTCACAGGAACGGTGAGTTCTCGGTGGCCACAGCCCTCGCCACTCATCTCCCTTGAAGTGTCACTTGCCAGGGGTGCCTAGCCCTCCTTCTGTGGACCTGGACAGGAAAAGGGAGAACCCTGCAGGGACCAGCAAAAGCTAAGGGTCTGAGCCCACTGAGCTGGCGGGAGAAGCAGCTCCTTCCACAGAAGGAGAAGAGAGGAGAACGTGAGCCCTACCTGTGGGCCAACGAGGAAGAGGAGGCCAGGGAGCGTTCCTTACATCACTCTTAATGAACTTCAGGTCAAAGTAATCCCAAAGTAGGCCCAAGTGGCGTGTCCGGTGTGGCATATTCAGCAGGAGCTGACAGAATCATGACACAGGCCCCGGAGCTGGGCCGCTACCTTCCCCAGGGAGTGAGGGAGCAGTGGCGTCAGGCCTGGCCCGTGGGGCTGGGGCCGGGGAGGCCGGGTTCCTCCCCCGTAGGTTGAAAGTGGGACCTGCAGCCTGGCTGCTTCCCAAGCACACACCGGCACCCTTCTAAGGGGAGTGGGCACTTCGGGCTTGGCAGAGGGGGCGAGCCTCCAGCTCTGTGTGCATTCCTGGCCTGTCTCTGTGGAGGGCTTTGCCTGTGCCTCCTCCCTCCCAGCAGCAGCCCACAGGCTGAGCACTTCCAAGGAAGAAGACTCCCAGGGAGGGGGGTTTCAGAGCTGCCGCCCACACCACGCTTCTGACCAAGCCAGTGTGGATCCCTGGGCTTGAGGTGCCCACGGAGCAAAAAGACAAGAGAAAGGCACTCCCAGTGGCTCCTGTGTCACGTGAGGGACCTGGACCCTCGCCCATGTCAGGTGCCTCTAGGACTGAAGGGGGAGGGCGTGTTCTCTGCCTGGTGGTGCAGATCACCTCTCACCAGCAAGTGCAGGCCAAAGCCCAGTGCAGAGCTGGCCCTAACCTAGTCTCTCTGGGAACCCAGGCTGTTTCACAAACCGGGCTCCCAGGAGCCTGCCCTGGGGAGGCAGCGGCATCTGCTGAGGCCCCACGTGGGCTCCAGAAGGCAAAGGTCTGGTGGAGACCACCAGGTTTCTCTGTGTGGAGTGTGGAGGGGCCTCAGGACCCAGTCGGCCCCCCACATCCAAGGCAGGGAGCACTGATGAGCTGGGATGGGGGGATTCCAGGATGGAGGCCAGGGGACTCGACCGCCTGGTTCTGTTCTGTCCCGCGGTCAACAGACGCATGCTCTGCATTTCCCTGGAGCAGAGCAGGCGGCCCGGGCTGGAACCCTGGCTGGAGGTGGCCAGCCAGTGAGGCTGCCTATATACCCCCAGCAGGCCAAAGAGCAGAGGGTCGGTTGGTCCATGCCAGCCTCCAGCCCTGCCCTGCCGTGGAGGCCCTGGCCTCAGAAACAAGCCTGGGCACGTGGAGCGTAAGTATACAGCATGGACTCTGCAGACAGGGCGGTGGCACCAGCACAGCTGGAGCCCAGCCAAGCCCACCCCTCCAGGCTGCACCTGTGCCCAGGACCCAGGGTCTGCCGGTCTGTCACTGTGTAACCACCTGCTCTCAGTGCCAGCCATAGGCCAGCTTCTGTGGGTGGAGAGCATGGCTACCCGGCAGCTGCACCCTGCAGCCAGGGTCCAGCCAGGGCTGTGGCCTCATCACAAAGGCTTGCCTGGAGAAGACGCACTGCCCAGCCTACGTGATTATCACAGGACTCGGGGTCTTGGTTTCTCGCTGGTTATCAGCCCGGGTGCCTCAGGACCTTGCCAGGGCCACTTGCTTCCTCAAGCCAAGGGGAGAGAGGCTGCAGAAGATGCAATTGCAACCTGTGTGTGTGTGTGCGTGCGTGTGTGTGTGTGTCTGTGTGTGCGTTACTGGGGATTGACCCAGGGGTGCTCCGCCACTAAGCCATACCCCTCCTTGGTTTTTATTTGAGGTAAGGTTTCCATATGTTGCTCAGGCTGGACTCGAACTTTTGATCCTCCTGTCTCAGCCTCCTGAATAGCTGGGATTACAGGTGTTCATGTGCCACCGGGGATGGCTGGATGCTGCAACCTTATGTGACATAATCACAGAGGTGTCACCATGACATTTGCTATTTTCATCTGGTGGAAAAGGTTCTGCACACTCAAGGTGTGAACACTGGGAGGCGGGGTCTGGGGCCACCTGGCAGGGGCCTGGCACACCCTGCCTGACTCCCTTCTCCCCTTGCTCAGTCTGCTAACTGGTAAGGTCCATGTGGGCAAAGGGGCAGTGTTAGGGGGCTCCCTGGCCCTGCTGGCTGTGGTCACTGCTCTGGTGATTGTTCCTTTACAGGTCTGTCTCCCCGACAGATTGTGAGCTGCTTAGAGTTGGGAACTGTCCCAGCTCCGAGGTCCATGGCCTGTCATAGTATTGGAAATGCTATGATGTTAGGGGTAGGTTTAGGGTTAGGGTTAGGGTTGTGGAATGAACCCAGGACCCAACAAACAGCTGGTGACAGGTCCTCAGGGCAGCGCTGGATGGTAAAGCCCGGATCTCCACTGAGAACTCTGACGGCGCTCTTGAGTCCCCCTGCCTTGCTCTCCAGGTGTGGGGAGGGCCCGGCAATGGCACCGACCCCAAGGCTGTCACGAGAAGGAGTGTATCGGCACTCGTCTTGGCCTGAGGCTGGTGTTTCTGACCTGGATGGTCACCGAGTGGCCTGTGGTTCTTCATTACCCCCTTTTCCCTGAGTTTCTGGTCCTAAATCCCCTGAGCCCAACAGAGCAGAGGCCTGAGGGCCTGCACCTGTGTGCGGGGCAGGCTCCACGGAGGTGGCTGGGAAGGAGGCTGTGCAGGCCTGTGGCCCCCGTTAGGCCTGCAGGCTGAGATGAAAAGGCAGGCAGCTCGTCACCAGGGCTTATCAGGTTATAGGAATTTCTTTAATAGATAATCTCATTGGAGGGGCCTGGGGGAGGAGGGCTCCTGGCCTGCGGCCTGCCCCTCCTCCTGCTCTGGGTGGACTCCGGTGCCCTCGGGGCCTGCGCTGAGCTGACTGGTTTCCCAGCAGAGCAAACAGTGGCCGAGAGTGGCCGTTGCGTGCTTTCTACCCTTGCCCTCATACCAGCCCGGGGGTAAAAGGTCGTTGCTAGTTGGTGGCTTTCCAGATGTATCATGCCTGGGCAGAAACTGGATTTCAAACCTCCCATTTCAAAGAACTTTAAGAGACACTGAATGCGGCCACTGCAGACGGGAGCAGGTCTGGCCAAATTGGCGGGGGTGCTGACCAGCCATGCCCACCGTGGACGATGTCTTAGAGCAGGTGGGGGAGTTTGGCTGGTACCAGAAGCGAGTCTTCCTCACACTATGCCTCACCTCGGCGGCCTTAGCCCCCATCTACCTGGGCATCGTCTTCTTGGGCTTCAGCCCCCCCCACCACTGCCGGAGCCCCGGGGTGTCTGAGCTGAGCCAGCGATGCGGCTGGAGCCCAGCGGAGGAGCTAAACTATACCGTGCCAGGTCTGGGGGCTGCGGATGAGGCCTTCCTCCGCCAGTGCATGCAGTATGAGGTGGATTGGAACCAGAGCACCCTCAGCTGCGTGGACCCTCTGGCCAGCCTGGCTGCCAACAGGAGCCACCTGCCACTTGTCCCCTGTCAGCATGGCTGGGTGTACGACACTCCTGGCTCCTCCATCGTCACTGAGGTAGGCAGAGGTTCTGTATTCAGGGTAATGTGGAGACTTCAGGGACAGGCAGGAGATGTACAGCAAGCCCGTCTGGCTCAGTTTCTCAACAGACAAGAGGGCAGGGTCCTGGTCCGTGCGCAGGTCGAGGTGTTGGGCTGTGTCCTGGCCTCCTGCATTCTTTGTCACAAACTCTGGGTGTAGGAGGAGGCTGGGCCTCTGGGAGGACAGAACGCAGATGCACTGCATTGTTGGGATTTACAGGGAGTCTGAGGGCTTCTCTACTCCTGCCCCACTGGCTTTTCCCAGAGCCTACAACTTCACGTCTGTGCTTCCCCATGGTTGGTATTATGAAACTCCCCCCCCCCCCAGTGGTGACAGGTGACCTAAATGACGGTCACTGAGGTGGTGTGGAGTCGCCTTGACTTTGGTTGATCCCAGACATGCTCCTTACTAGCTGAGCATCACTGGGTAAGTTACTCAGCCTCTCTGAGTCTTCATCATTGAACTGGGATCATAAGACCTTGCCACACAGTGTTCTGGGATTCAGCTGACAACCGTGATTAAGGCATTATGCTGTGTGGTCCTGCTTGTGTCCTGTGGGGCAGGGCAGTGGTGTCCAAGGGGCCTTGCTTAGATGATTTAATTGGTTCTTTGAGCATTTGCTTTGAGAAGTTTTTAGTAAAAAGTGACACGATATTTTCTCCCTTTATGGACCTTTTGTGGGCACTTGGCCAACTGGAGAAGCCATAGGCCTAGACCCATTCAGAGGCTGTTAGCCATGGCTTGGCTTTGGTGAGGACATCATACATCCAGAACAGGAGGACACCCTCCCACACCCGCCCCCCACTGTCCATCGCCCCTCCGCCTGCTCAGGGCTTCTCAGTCTCCTTCCTTTCACCCCTTTCCTCGGTGGCTTCAGTGCCAACATGTTTAGGGCTCTTCCTGGTGGAAAGGCCAGTGTCCCCTCCCCTGACATGATCAACACTCAGCCTGCTCACCTGGGGAGAGCAGGTGCTGGGGCAACTGCCTTACATGCTGTTGAGTGGACACAGTCCCCAAGGCATCCTCTAGTGGTGGCTAAGTTGCCTGGGTCACCTGCCAGGGGTGTTCCACCCTGTGGGACCCAAACGGGAACCTGCTGTTCTCTGGGCCAAGGCACACTGTGCAGGAAAGGACTCCGTGCAGACACTGCCCAGGCACTCGTCCATCTGTCCATCTCCAATGAACATGTTCTGAGCTCTCCCTCAGTCCTAGCACTGGTGGTGACCCTGCAAGGGGACAGAGGAGTTGTGTGAAGTTCCCTCATAGAGTCTGCAGTCTCAGGGAGGGTGTGGGTCCACTAGTGACAGTCTCAGTGGGGCCTGGGAGGTGCTGTGCGCAGGGCAGAGGGGCCGGGGCTCTGAGGAGGAGAGTGCTCAGGCCGGCTGCTCACAGCTGCTCATCTGAGCTGAGCCTCAGGGTGATTTGGCCAGCAAGGGGAGCCGGTGGTGGTGGAGGGGGTAGGCAAGGGCAGTTAGTAAATCCCAGGCCCAGGGAACAGCGTGAGTCAAGTTCAAGAGTCAGCTAACTTGTGCCACCTCGGGGAGTTATGGAGTCCTCAGGGTTACCAGATAAAATATAGGGTACCCTGTTAAATTTGAATTTCAAATAATAGAATTTTTAAAATTTTTGAGTTGGGTTCTTGCTATGCTGCCCAAACTGGTCTCAAAGTCCTGGATTGAAGTGATCCTCCTGCCTCAGGCTACTGAGGAGCTGGGACTGCAGGCACGTGACACTGGACCTGGCTAGATAATGCCATTTTGTTTTTTAGGATAGTTATATTTTGGATATTGCACAATATTTTATATTGATAACTGGGTTTGGGAATACAGATATTTCATGGAATGTATTTATGCTAAAAAGATTATTGCTTATCTGAAATTCAGATTTAACAGGGCACTCTGTATTTTTATTCGCTACATCTGGCAAACCTACCTTAAGGCTAAATGAAGGGGTTTGGTCTTATTTGGGCAAAGGAGCAAGACAATCCTAACTAGACCCAGTGACTGGGCTGGAAGCAGGTTGGTGGTGGGATCGGAGTCTTCTGAAATAGGGAGATGCAGGAAGCGGCCAAGAAAAGAGCCCAGATGAGAAATGTCAATCCACACGGTTGTCATGGCGATGAAATGCCTCCGCGCTGGAAGGCTACGGGGAAGTCGCTGCGGGTCAGGGAGAAGGAAGGAGGGGGCTGCGCTGCGGGTCAGGGAGAAGGAGGGGTGCCGGAGTACGGCTGCAGCAAATAACCGGGGGGTGACGAACAACTTGTGTACGTTGATACAGCAGGAGTGGAAGCCCGTTTATTGCAGGACAGGAGCAGTATTTATACATTCCACACAGCTTATCTAATTAGCATAAACTAGATACATCAGTCAACCAATCAGGAATCTCCACACTTAATGGCTCGCTTTTGTTACTGCGGGTTCTGGCCTGAGGGGAGCAGGCAAAGGGAGCCACTGAGCCCTGGGCTGAGGACCAGGAGCTGCAGAAACGGGGAGGAGGGGCCAGAGGCAGGAGGCCAGAAGAGGTTCACAGAAGCGACTGGCTCTGTGTAGTGAAGAGGGGCTCCAAATGAGCCCCAAAGCGAGAGCTCTGGTGAGGACTTTGAGAGTCCTGGGACTGTGACCAGCAGGGACAGTGAGGGCGAGCCGCTTTCAGGAGGAGTGTCCACGGTGCTGGACTGAGTCTGCGGGTGCTGGGACTCGCGCAGAAGGAAGAGCAGCGTGGGGCACGTCAGGCAGGAGGCAGAGGAAACCGGCCCCATTTTAATTCTCCCCTCAGCGGCTCTCAGGCTGCCCTCCCGTCCCTCCCTATCCTGAACTGGAGACTATTCTTGAGGATTGACTGTAGTTATCCGTCTCTGTAGAACTGATGTTTAACCGAGGGTTGCCTTGGACCTTGGAACTGCTGGAGGAGGAAGATGAACGACCCTGTTTGAACACCAGGTTCAACTCCCTCTTCAAGGCTTGGGGACTAGGCTCCTGGGGAAGGGATGTGATGTCCCTGGCTCTTGACTCCCCATCAGGAGGGTCTGCTCTGCCTGCCCTGGCTTCAGCCGTAGCCCCACACCAGCCCAGGCGGCCACTGCTTCCTCTAGGCCTGAGCACAGAGTGAGAGGGGCCATTCCCCGGGCAGAGGTGGGGGGAGGTGGTCAGGCCGCTGCATCCCAAGCCTGCCTAGTCCTGCGTGGCCACCTGCATTCCCACTTGTGACCACGGAGAATAGGGATTTTAACAATCCCTGTTGTTTTCTCTACTGTGCTGGAAAGGGCCCAGTGGATGGGCCTAGAACACCTCCTCTGGCCCTCTTTTGTGCCAACCGGCCTCTCTGTGGGGCCAGGCCTGTGTCCCCAGGGTGCACACATGAGCCTGCGTGTGGTGGCTCTAGGAACTGATCCCCACAGCTTGGCAGTGTCCACCCTTGCGGGCAGTGGGGTTGGAAGTGAGGCTGAAAGAGACCGGCTTCCTCCAGCCCCAGGGAGGGTCTGGCTGTGCATGAAGCCCGGGCAAGGTGGCCACCAGAGCCTGTCAGGAGGGGGACGGGGCAACTGACAGAGGCACAGACTTGCAAAGATGGAATGAAACCAGAGCAGCGGCCAGGAAGGGATGAGTGAGGCCAGGGGTCACAGTTCCACGTCCCTTTCCACCCCGTGACTTCAGTGCTGTAGAGCACTGTCCCTCTTGATATGGGGGACGTTCAAGCAGACCCTGGCAGCTGGAGCCACACCCTGGGACAGCCAGATAACCCAAGATGAGCTCTCCTCCTGTGTTCCAACGCCCGAGCCCAGGGCGCAGGAAAACCTGTGGGTCCACTGCTGCAGAATGGCAGCCTGGGAGGGCCACCTGGGAGAGGCTCCACTGGAAGGTGTGCTTCCAGTCACATTTCAAAGGAAATGAACCTTGGGATTGGTGGAGAGAATGAGTGACACTGAGCTTGTCACTCCATAGGACAGGACGGCTGATGGCAAGGTTTATGTTTGTTCCTGAAAGTCCACATAATGCAGAGTGTTCACTCCATTGCAGAAAACACGTCGTTCACGCCGAGGAACGCATCTGCCGATGACACCGGGCCGGCTGAGTTCAGCCTGAGACTCTGAATGTCTGACCCCGGGACAACTTTGGACATGTGGGGAGGGATAATAAAACACTTTTTAAAATCAGACAAAGCCCTTGAGCTCACAGGGTGAGGCAGGACAGGTCCACATGCCTGTTTCAGTTGGGGACTGGGGCTCCAAGTCGCCAGGTGGCTTACTGCCATCACGCTCCGCAGTGCTGCTTGTTTGATGGAGCCATGAATCGGAAGCAAGGAGAGAGGGGGACAGGAGGGCAGGAAGCCCAGGAAGGGCAGCAGGAGGGGGCAGAAAGCCCAGCTCCTGCCTCCCCGCCTCTGGTCTCCCTGGAGTCCACTCTTCTATGGCTTGCGTCACGTGGGGCCCTCTGAGTCTCCTCCTACCTGTCACATGTCACCCCATGAGACTACAGTGCTGGCCACCCCTAGACGCCAGAATGTCTCACCCCTGCCTCTGCCCTCCTCAGGTGCCACTCAGTTGTGACAGAATGTCCACTGTCACTGGTGGAATTTATCCAATTAAACACATGGAGGATCCTCAACTGACTCTGGAAAACATCCTATGTTTCTTCTGCTACATTTATTTTTTGGGAAAGCACGAGGCTCTACTTTTTTCTAGAGAACTGACCTGGCAGCCACGTCTCCTCTGAGGTCTACCTGTTCTTGCTCCTTTTCCAAAGTCATTTTGTCCTTTGACAGTCGACTATGAAGGACAAAGCACAGGACCACAGCTGCTTTAGCAAATGTCACTTTGAGGGTGTTAGAGGAGTGTGTTGATGCTCATTGTCTTGTGTCTTAGGAAACCGTGCAAGGGACAACCTGAAGCTCTCCGAGGGGCCTGGCCTTGTCTGGAGGGAGGGTGGAAGGTGTGGTTCTGGCTCACGTGCCCTTCTGTTCTGGGTCCCTGGTGGCAGTTTAACCTGGTGTGTGCCAACGCCTGGAAGGTGGACCTCTTTCAGTCCTGCGTGAACCTGGGCTTCTTCCTTGGGTCCCTGGGCATCGGCTACATCGCAGACAGGTGAGTGAAGGCTGGTCCTGTCAAGTTCCCCACCGCGCCAAGAGAGGGTTGGGGCAGGGGTGGAGGACATGGCCAGTTGGAGCCCGTTGCAGAAGGTGGCAGAGATGGGACGTGGTGGCAGTTTCCAGCTGCTGTGAGGCTGCCTGGGGGAGGAAGGTGAAGCCAGGTACAGATCAGAGGTGGGGCAGGGGCCCAGGGAAAGGAGAGTGAGTCAAGGTGTGTCACAGCCCATGGGTGGACGGGTCATCTTGAGAAGAGGGATGCTGGCCAGGCACACTCCTGAGGCAGGGCTCGTGGTGAGGCAGGAGTTCCACCTGAGGTGCAGAACTGGGAGCTGTGTGGGCGCGGCCTGCCAGGCCCAGGAGGGGTGTCCGTGGGCAGGTGGGGTGACTCTGGCCCAGGTCCTCAGCCTCCTCCCGCCTCTTGTCTCTTCAGGTTTGGCCGTAAGCTGTGTCTCCTGGCGACCTCGCTGGTCATGGCCCTGTCCGGTGTGCTGACAGCCGTGTCCCCAGACTACACGTCCATGCTGCTCTTTCGCCTGCTGCAGGGGATGGTCAGCAAGGGCACCTGGATGTCTGGCTACACCCTGAGTAATCACCCAGGGCTGACGTCTCCCTGGGCCCAGGGAGGGGGCAGTGGGTGGAAGGGGGCCGGGGGGGGGTGCGTTCAGAGGGAAGGGGAGTCTTCAGGGTAGAGAATTGTGGTAGTTAATTGTGTGTCCTGTGCCCGGGCAGGCGTGGGTAGGTGTGGCCTCCTTTTCTCCTCTGTGGCTGTGGGGGGGCTGCAGGAAGCCAAGCCGGTGTGGGGGGGAGTGTTTTAAGTATGAAAGAGCCAGCAACTCCTTAAAAGAAATAGAACTCAGATGGCTTAAATGACAGTCCAGAGCTAGCAGGAAAGGACAGAGGAGACAGACACCATGAGCTTTTAAAAACCCAGGAGCAGTCTGCACATGAGCTTTTCTTTATTCTACGAAGGGTCGGAACAGAAAACAGGAATTCCCTCCTTGGAGGAAAGCAAATAAAAGAGTCACCTGAACTCTCCTGAGCCCAGGGATGGGGCCCAGCGGCCCAGGGAAGCTAAGCCACATTTCTGCTCTTTCAAGAAAAAAAAACAAATAGCCAGGCTGCTCCTCTAAAACTGGTGTCCTATGGCTTGGCTTTCCGAGGGCAGTTCACGAGGGCCTGGAGAAACCGTGTTCCTGCCTCGAGAACCTCGAGCACTTGGTTACGTCTGGTGGTTCAGCTGAGGTCCCGTGTGCTCCGCAGGCGCTGCTTGGTGCATGGAGAGAGGAGCAGCTGGGGTAGATCCATGCTCCAGCACCGGGCAGCGGTGTGATCTGGGGCAAGGGCCATGATCTCTCTGTGCCTCAGAAGCTTCAAAATGGGAATATGATGGTGCCCTCTTTCCTGGGGTTGCTGTAAGGAGCCGGTACTTTGCCCTGGGTGTAGGGTAGGCTCAGACCAATGCCCGCTATGGCGTCGCCCCTCTAATTGTCACTGGTGCTGCTTGGCAGGCAATGGTAGGGGCTGGGGTGCTGAGATAGATAAGGTGTCCTCCTCCTTTGGGAGCTCATGGGAAGGCCAGGGGCAGGTGCCAAAATGGGCATTTAGCCAAGAGCCCTCGGAGACTTCTGTCCCTCGATGTGCTTCTCCAGTTGCTCAGGACACACGCTACCTGGCTCTCCTCTTGCTTACTGGTGGCTCCTTCTCATCTCTTCTCTTGGCTCCTGATTAACATGGCAGGACCCCAAGGCAGCAGGCTGTAGTCGTCCTCCATCCCAGACCCCCAGCTGTGCCCAGTGAACACCTCGCAGTCAACACCACATCCCCTTTCCAGCTCCCACGCCTCCAGTCCACCAGTGAACCTCGTATTGGCTGTATTTCCAAAATGCACACAGAACCCTGCCCTCCTCGTGACCTCTGCTGGTCCACGCCACCACCGTTGCCCCATCTCCCAACAGGCCTCCCGGCTGCACCCACGGCCAGCTGTGAGCAGGGCTGCAGGGTGAGCCTTTGGAGACAGGCCGTGGCTTGTGGCTCTCCCACAGCGACTTTCCCTTCCACTCAGTAAGAGGCAACGTTCCTGTGATGTCCCGCAGGCCCCCCAGAATCGCCTTCCCCAGATTCAGCCCCCATTCGCCTGTTTTCCTGATTGACCCCCTGCAACCCGAGAGTCTCCTTACAGTTCCCCTCCAGACCGTGGGCATCCTGCCACTGGACTGAGCCTCCCTGTCATCTGCGTGGCTGCCTCTCCCACCCCGTCTGTGTCTCGGCTCCAATTCCGTCCATCTGTCCCACCAGTCCTGTGTAAACGGCCTCCCTCCCGCCACGTTCCTGATCTGCCTTCTTCTTGCTGTTTGTTCCCCCACGGTGCAGACACATTCCAACCTAGTATTTAATATAAATATACACCACGTGGGTTGCCTGCCACCAGAACAGGAGACCTCTCGTGCCCTCGAGCATCCTAACAGAGAGAACAGCCCCATCCCCCGTAGACACTTAGCTGTGCAAAGCTGATGGTCCCCAAGAATGTCCAGCTCAGCCTAGAGCTCCTAGGGGAAGATGTGGGAAGAGAGCCTGAGTCTGAAGCCCAGGAGAGAAACATGGAAGGAGGAGCCCGAGAAAGAGCAGTCGGAAGGCCCAGGGCCCCCCGGCTGCCCGGGAGTCTGGGCTGGGCCAGTTGGTGGAGGTAGGCAGAGAAGCTGGGCAAGCAGGTGTGGTTTGGGGGCCAAATGAGGGCCACACAGAGAGGAGCTGGGAGCAGGCTGGGCCAGGCTGGGGCTTGGGAGAAGAGGCCAGTGGGAGTGGACCTCTCAGACCTGCCTCCCCCGGGGTCCAGCGGTGACTTTCTTTGTTTCAGTCACAGAGTGTGTCGGCTCAGGCTACAGAAGGACAGTGGCGATCCTGTACCAGGTGGCCTTCACCGTGGGGCTGTTGGGGCTCTCTTGGCTGGCCTATGCCATTCCCCACTGGCGCTGGCTCCAGCTGGCCGTGTCCCTGCCCACCTTCTTCTTCCTGCTCTACTACTGGTAATGTGTCCCCCGCAAATCTGCACAGCTTCCTGCTCTAAGGCCTGTCGCTCTGGGGCCAGGCTCCGTGGGACGGAGGGCCCCTCTGTCACACGGGCCACCTTCCAAGGGGCCATGGTGTCCATATGCGTGAGGCAGAGCTGCTCCCGGAGACTGTGCCCGTGGGCCATTTCTGCCCTCAGGCTGTCCTGATGTTGCCAGATGACCCCGATGGCATTGGGCGCTGTCCTCAGACAGAGCCGGTCCAAATCCATACCCCCCCCCCCCGATAGACGGGAGCGATGCCACAGTCAGACTAAAGTCCAGGAGCACAGCGCTGCCTGCCCAGCCCGAGGCTTCCAATGAGCACCTTCCAGAAACACGAAGCCCAGCTGCCCGCACTGAGATGCCCTCAGTGGTCCCTTCTCATGGCTGGGTGAGGGGGCAGGTTTCCAGGTGCTGCTCTGCAGCCCAGAGGAATCTTGGAGACGATCTGCCTACAGTGTCTAGTACAAGGAACAGGGTCATTTTACCACCAGGGCTCTGCCTCCTGCAGCCCTGTGAGGCTCCCGTGGTCCGGCATGGAGCACCCTTGGAGCTCCCCCCGACCCCCCGTCTATAAGTAATAATGGCATTGACAAGGCTCTGACACCCCTCTAACCCAGCCACATAGTAGGTATTTGATCTTGGTTGAGTCAATTTATGAATGAATGAATGTATGAATGATTGAAAGGCTGCCCAGGGTAGGGTGTCCCTGGGAAACGTGTGCACTGCGTCACTGCGAAACAGAACTAGTCCAAATGAGGTGTTGTTCTTAAGAGCCGTGAGCACCTTGTAGGGTCTGGCAGGAAAACCAGCTCCACAGATAAGCGTCATCGTGGAGGGAAGAGGAAACAGCAGAGGGAAATATCTGTGCACCTTCTGCCACGGTTCTGCTGAGGGTGGACCTGGAGTAGACCCATCCTCTCCGGGTGAAAGCTGGCCCCCAAGCATTGCTTGGTGATGGACGGAGGGGGCCCGCTCCTGGAGACATGGGGCCCTGCTCCACAGAAAGAAGACTAATGGGGGGCTGTGGTCCCTTCTTTCTGTGAATCTTAGCAGGTGACCTGAGTCTGAGTGACCCTCAGAGCTCATGCCAGGGCCACACGGGCCAGCACACAATAGCCCTGGGCCTCATCCACAAGCAGTTCGAGGAATCACAGTTCCAACCTGGGGAGGGGGTGTCTCTGACAACTGCACCCTCTCCTCAGCATTTCGTCAGGTGAGTTCTGGGGAATGCCACCTGGTGATGCACTGTGTCCCTAGGTGTGTGCCGGAGTCGCCCCGATGGCTGCTGTCACAGAAGAGAAACACTCAAGCAATAAAGATAATGAACCACATCGCCCGGAAGAATGGGAAATCGCCTCCTGCTGACCTACAGGTGGACCAGGAAGGGCTCTCACTTCCCGGACCTGGGGCCTCTGGGGCTGCCCGGGGAAGTGGTGGAGCTGTGCTCGAGGTCAGGGTGTGATAGCCATCAGTGGCAGTGGCCCCCCGGGGACCACCCCACTCACAGCTTGGGTGGGTGACGATCTTCTCCCTCCTAGATCCTCTCTCTGGAAGAGGACGACACCGAAAAGCGGAGCCCTTCCTTTATAGACCTGTTCCGCACGCCCAACCTGAGGAAGCACACCTGCATCCTGATGTACATATGGTGAGGCCTTGCCCCGCTGCCCGCAGGCTGGCCTGCAGCGCTGCCCCAACGCGGGGTGCAAAAGAAAGTCCCCAGCATGGTTCAGGTGTAGAGAGAGCGGGGCGAGAGGCCATCTCAGAACAGTGGTCAGCAGTCAGAGAGCTCCGAGGGGCCTTATCTCCCTGGGGGCTGGGTCATGGGGAAGGCCCGTTTGGACAGGAAGGACAGTTACTGGGCCGTGGAGTGGCAGAGAGGAGCTGCAGCTGCCTCAACTCTACGAAGCCTCCTCTGTGGGGAGCAGCAGGTCTTGACATCGTGTCGGAAGGTGGAGGGATTGATGACATCAATCAGGAAAGCTGAGCCCTTCAAAGGGGAGACCCCTTTCTTTTCTCACATCTAAAAACCTAAGGACCCTCTTGAGGGTCTCTCTGTGCCTTCATTAGCCATTGGTTAGAACTCCCGTGCACTCCCGCCATACCCCTCGCCCACGCCAGGGGTCTGCTCCTCTCTCAGTGGCTAGCAAGGGAAGGGACCCAGCCTGTTGGATTGGCTCCTCCATATGGGCATCCCTCAGAACAAAGTGATTCTTAAGTTGCTCTCTGACACAGGGTCCTCAGCGGCCAGACCCTGGGGGAAGTTCCTCTTCCCAGTAGCAGCTGCTGGCACTAACACCTAAGGCTTTATTTGAAGAAGGAGTCGACCTAGTAGGGCAGTGCCTGGCGCATGGTAGCCCCTCAGTAAATATTTGCTGAAAGTTGAATGAGTAACTGCTGTTCCACGGAATCCACTCAGGGTGTTAGATACTGGGCTCACCCTGCCCTGCCCCTGCCTCGAACTCACCAGCCCTGTCCCTGAGTTTGCCCTGGGGTCCTGCACCCAACCACAGAGTGAGCCCTTGCAGAGCCCCGTGTAGCTGGCGGGTTTCCGTGGTGCCTGATTCTGCAGCCCCTCTGTGGGCAGCCTGCAGACAGGAGTGATTGCTCACTCACCCGGGCTGCTCAGTTTCCCCTGCACCCCAAGCACATACCTCTCAAGGTGGCATTTGATGCCTCTGTTACGGCCACCCCCATCCAGGCAAATCTCGATACTGGCTGCCGGCACGCTCTGCAGACTTCCTGATCCACTGAGAATAGAGCCAGGTTTCTTTTTCCGACCTGCAAGTAAGGCTTTATGTGATCTGGCCCCTGACACCTTCTCCCACTGTCCCTCCTATGCCCCACCTGCTTCTCTTCATTCTGCAAACTGGGAATCTGCCCACCACTTCCTGGCTGTGTTTCCTTTAGAAAGAGCCTCAGTCTCTCTGTGACTAAGTGTCCTCATCAGCAATGGAAGCAATAACAGTATCTAGCTCATAGGGGAATTAAAGAGATGATCTGTGTAGAGCGCTTGGAACAGTGTGGGGTACAGATACAGCAAATGCTCAGTGAGCACAGGTTTTTTTTTTTTTTTTTTTTGTTGTTGTTATTTTAATATGTACATGCAATTCATGGGTTCTGCCTGAAGGTGGCAGCCCTGCTCATTTATCACCTGGTGTGTGGACAGGCAAATTCAAGTTGTAGGTTCTTTTCTCTTGAGCCCATCTCCTCATCAGCAGTGTGTGACAGTTTCCACTTCACTGGCCAAATGGTGCGGGGGGTGGCTCCGGTTCCCTAAACTCACTAAGCTACAGGTGTGTGCATTATTCTTGTTTGTTTGTTTTCCTTTTGACCCTTTTGTCCAATCAGCAATGACAAGAAACAAAAGCCCCACAAGTATCCTCTGGCTGAGGCTTTTATAAAACAAGGGGGGCACATTAATTAGGAACATCAGTTGCCATCTCAGTTTCGGAGCACACAGGCAATTTGCATGCTGGGACAAGATCTGGATTTCTTATTGAGCAAAGTCTCGTTGAACAATGTAGACACAGATATGATCTAAGAGGCTCTAGTTTCCAAAATGATATCCCCCCAGTGACACACAGCACCCTCCGACTGTACTGGAGAGCGGGCAGTTTAGGAAGGCCCCGCCATCTGTGTCTGTGTCCTGTGACCTACAGATAGAGGGCCCTGCAGGCGCATGGGGCAACGATCAGTGCCCGTTAAAGATGGTGCTGTGAGGTTCAGGGCCTCCGCTCTGTTGTGCCCAGGATCCTTGACCTTGTTACCATGGTGATGACGATGGTAACGGCGAAAGCTCGTAAGCATAAGGCATCCTCTCACATCATTAAAGGAATTTGTCTTCAAGGGCCCTTCTATCGCCCTCTTTTTGCATTGCTCTAGAACATTCTATGCCAGTGACACATTCTCTCCAGTGGGTGGGGGCGCCCTCCCTGAGCTGCTGGTCCCCTGCAGAGCTTGCCTTTGACTGGGCTCTCCTCTCGCCCAGGTTCTCCTGCGCTGTGGTCTACCAGGGCCTGGTCATGCACATGGGGGCCACCAGCAGGAACCTCTACCTGGACTTCTTCTTCTCCGCGCTGGTTGAACTCCCTGCGGCTCTCATCATCCTCGTCACCATTGACCGTGCTGGCCGCATCTACCCGTTAGCCTTGTCCAGTCTGGTGGCCGGGGCAGCCTGCTTGGTCATGCTGTTTATCTCACAAGGTGAGTGGCCTGTGTTCGTTGTCTTCCAGGGAACTGGGCTTTGATAAGCCCCTGTATCAAGAACAAAGGGTGTCACCTTCATTCACCATCTCTCCTTAACAATTTAAATGGGGGTCTGACTAATACATAACGAGCACTTTATAACTGTGTGGTTTGGTGAACCTGGACTTGTGGACACCCAGGCGGCATGGGCTGAGCGCCCTCCCCCAGCACCTCGGCTGTCCTTCCCGCTCCGTCACACCAGATCCGTGCAGCCCTGCCCGCCCGCCTGCCGCCCTGGCCTCTGTGGACGCAGATCAGTCCTCCTGTTCCTGAGCGGCCCAGCCGTGTTGCAGGAAGCTGCCTTTCCTGTCTGCCCTGCGGCTCCTCCATGCACACGGAGAGGAGAGAAATGTAGACCCACCAGGAGAGAGATTCAGGCAGGGAGCAGCAGGAAGGGGGACGGGAGGAGAGGGCTCAGCCTGGAGCTCGGCTGGACTGGCATTGGGTGGCAAGCATCAGATGAGGTCCCCTGTGAGCCAGGAGACAGCAACCCTGGACGGTTCCCCAAGCACAGCAGGAAAGCACTGGTGGCTTTGGGTGGGAGCCGCTCAGTCTGACCTCAATGTAAACGTATCCCTCTGACTGCTGTAACATGTGGCCCCGGCCAGCAGGGCAGAGTGGACGCAGCTGTTCTCTGAGGGCAGCGATGCTGTGTATGCCCTGGCTCCGACCCCCCGGGACCATCTCCTTCTTCTCTTGTTTTGTAGAAGCTGGGTCGGGTGTGGACTTTCCCAAGGCTCAGCCTGGCTTCTGGGGGGCAGAGAGCAGCAGAGGCCCGAGAGTGCCCCTGAGCTGTGTGTGCAGTGAGCAGCCTCCGTGCTCCTTGGGAAGCTCACGCCAACTGAGTGACACCAACCGAGCCTTCCCTACGTCACCAGTGTCTGGGGCCAGGGGCCAGCGTGGTGCAATATCTGTGACCTCAGGGGACTTGTCATGAGCCAGTATTTCTCAGGGCCACTTGTACTCTGGTGTGGGGGTAATGTCGGTGACAATGTCAGTGGTGATTAGGGATCTGTGTTCCTTCCTGGGACGCCCATTACTGTGGTCACCCCCAGTGGGAATGGGGATTCCAGCAGCTGTCTGGGGCTCACTCCCTAATCACCCTCCCTGTGACTGGCAGGAAGCTGTTTAGGTTGGAAGCAACACTAGATAGAGGACTCCATCAGGGCTGAGCCTGGAGGGAGCTAACTCACCTGCTGGGATGTTTCAGGATGGCTAGCAGCAGCGCTGTTCTAGGATCGACAAACCTCAGCCTTTAAATTCCGCAGTCACAGGGGGAATTTGACACGTTACCTGTAAGACTCATAACCACCCGTGAGCTGTGCAGCTAGCATCCACCCCAAGGACGCCAACAGCTTGTCTAGGTCGGCCTGCTGACGGGAGGCACAGCGGAGCCCCCAAACTCATTCCTGTCTCTGGGGACGAATGGAGTCTTCCCAGAGGCGTCACCATCAAGTCCTGAAGTCTCCCGAGCTCAGCGCACTTGTCTGAAAATGAAAGGGTCAGAGAGGATGCCCTCCACGCCTTCCCTCTGTGGCAAGAGAGCGCCACCCTGGTGTCCCTCTGTCTCTGCAGACCAGCACTGGCTGAATATCGTGGTGGCTTGCCTGGGCCGAATGGGGATCACCATTGTGCTGCAGATGATCTGTCTGGTCAACGCGGAGCTGTACCCCACCTTCATCAGGTGAGTGCGTAAGGTGGGGGGACATCGTCACACCTCCTGCCAGCCAGGCTCACGAGGACCAAAGTTTCCAGGACGTCTCCCCGAGCGCCCCCAAGGATCGGTCAAGTTGAACATTGGGTATTGCTAAGAATGGGTGCTCAGAGAGGTAGGGTTGGGCGTCAAAGAGAAGGTTCCGGGTTATGGGAGAGAATGTGAAATGTGGGCACTGGAGTCAACTAAGGGCAGGGGGCACGCCAGGCCCTGTAAACAGGTGGCACAAGAACAGAGGCTTCTGGGATGGAGGAGGGCGCGCTGGGCAAGCCGCGGGGCTGCTGAGCTTAAGTATCCCCTTAGCACTAGGCGGTGGTGCGGATGTCAGCTGCTCTGTTACACGCTGGACTAATAGTGACAAGCCTTTCCACACCCATGACCTAGGCTGCCTTTACAGTTGTTATTGAACATCCTCCTCCTCAGTTTTACACAAGAAGCTGAGGCTTGAACAGGGAGAGGGACTTCCAGGGTCACACAGCTAGAGAGCGCAGGGCCACGCCTTTCTGGCCTGGACACGTGTGCTTTCTCCACTCAGACATGTTACTGCTCTCTAAACCGAGGAATGTCCAAGAAATGTAGTGAAATATGAAATCGACCATGGTAAACCTTTTAAAGTGTTCAGGCGGGTGCCGTCGGGGGCACTGACATTGTGTGGTCAATCTCCAGAGCTCTTTCCACCTTGCAAAACAGTAACTCTGTACCATTAAACAGCACCCCATTCCTCCCTCCCAGCCCCTAGCAGCCACCATTCTTCTTTCTTTCTACGATTTTGACTACTCTAAGAACTTCATCTAAGTGGAATCGTACAATATTTTTGTGTCTGGCTTATTTTACTTAGCATAATGTCTTTGAGAGTCATCCATGTTGTAGCACATGCTCAAATTCTCTCCTTTTTAAGGCTGAGTAATATTCCATTGTGTTCAGAACATGTTTGTTCATCCATTCATCTGACCGTGGAAGCTTGGGTTGCTCTCACAGTTTGGTGTGAACATCAGTGCACAGATATCTCTTGGAGACTCTACTTTCAATTCTTTTTTTTTTTTAAAGGAGAGAGAGAGAGAGAGAGAGAGAGAGAGAGAGAGAGAGAGAGAATGAATCTTTTTTGTAGATGGACACAACACAATGCCTTTATTTTTATGTGGTGCTGAGAATCGAACCAGGTCTACCACTGAGCCACAGTCCCAGCCCTCTACTTTCAATTCTTTTGGATGCCTATCTAGATGTGAAATCACTGGTATTATGGTATAGCTATGATGTCCCCCGGACACTCCTGTGTTCATGAAGGTCTGAAATATCAGATTACAAGAGCTGTAACCTGGGTGGTGGGTTAATCCAGTTGGTGAATGATTAATAACTTGAAGGGATGATCGTACAGGGGGTTGGTAACTGTGGGCAGTGGGGCCTGGTGGAGGAAGTAGTCACGCTGGCATGCCTTGGAGGGGGTGAGTTTTGTTCTGGCTCCTCCCTCTCGGCCTCCTTCCTGCCTGCCTGCCCGAGCTCAGCAGCTTTCCTCCGCCACGCCCTTCTACCAGGGGATGCTACCTCCTCGGGCCCAGAGCCATGGAATCCGCCAGCCACGGACTGAAGCTCTGAAACTGTGAGCCCAGTAAACTTTCCCTCCTCCAAGTTGACCTTGTCAGGTCTTTTGATGAAAGCCGGCTGCGGATCCATGGTAATCCTATTTTTTAGTTTTCGGGTGACCTCCGTCCTGTCTTCACGACAACTGGCCTGTTTTACGTCCCACCACGGGGGCCCAGGTCTTCAGTTTCTCCCTGGTCCCACCAATGGCTATCTTCTTTTTCTTTATAGCGGCCACCTGATGGGCTGAGGGGGTGACTCACCATGCGCTCCATTTCTTCAGTGATCAGTGGTGTGGGACATCTCTTCACCCACTTGAAGCCCGTTTGTGTGTCTTCTCTGGAGAAAAGTCTGATGCAGTGATTTCCCCTTATCAGACTGGGGATTGATTGTGGCTCTTTATATATTCTGGATCTTGGGGCCTGATCCAATGTATGATTTCCAAACATTTTCTTCCATTCTCTAGGTCGCCTTTTTATTCAGTTAATCGTGTCCTTTGATGAACAGAAGCTCTGGATGGGATAAGCTCCAGTTTCTCTCTTTTTACTTTGGGTCCTACGCTTTTGGTGCTGAAGAACTTTTTTTTTTTTAAAGTCGGGCATACAGAGACTCAAATTTATGTTTTCTGAAAGCAAGTTTTGATGGCATAGATAATTAATCTTTTAAACACTGCCACAAAGTACAGAGTATCTCCAGCATCCCCCGAGTTTCTTCACACCCCTCTGCAGTAAGTTCCCTTCTCGCTCCACCTCCAGCTCCTGGCAGCTGCTAACCTGATTTCTGTCCCTTTAATGTCACCTTTTCCAGACTGTAAAGTAATATCAGCGTGCCTTGTGGCTTTTTTATTGCCGCGTAGCTTACCAGTGCCTGGACCTGCTCTCTTCATTCACCTGGTCATGGTTGGACTTGGACTCCTTCCTGTTTGGGGTGATCACGATATAGCTGCTCTGAATATCAGTGCACAGGTGTTTGGATGGACATGTTTTCACTTCTGTGGGGTAAAACTTAGGAGTGTGATGCTGGGTCATGTGATCTGTGGGGGTGCCCCAGCTCGCACTCCCGCAGGCCGCGTGTGAGACGTCCAGTTGCTCTGCGTCCTCACGGGTGTTTGGCAAGTCGGTGTTAAGCCACTCTGGGAGGTGGGGTGTTATTGTGGCCCTCCTTTTTCCTACTCCCTAGTAACGCCAAGCACCTTTGCATGGAATTATTGCCGTCTGTATCTCACAGGACTTGGTTTTAAATGAAGATCATTTTAATTGTAAAAGTAGCCATTTTATTTGATGTTTTAAGAGCTGCCATTATCTTAACCTGACTTGTGTTAGAATTCAGTTTATTATCTTGAGCTTTTTTCCTTTGCATAAATTGCTCCTTTCCCATTGTGAACATATCAGTGGCTTCTAAGAAAATTCCAGATCCCAACCTCATCTTACACCTTCACAGTTCTCTGAGTCCTTGAGTGATGACTCTGAGTTCGTCATTCTTTTTTCTGCCTGTTCCTGTATCAAAAGGCCATGTCCGAGACTCTCATTTGTACAGTGTTGCTTGGACTGAGGACAGAGATGAAGACAAACTAAACAGAAAACCTACACTGGCAGTTCTGAGTCCAGAGTCTAAAAACTTTGGGACAAATAATTCCATTGTTATGGCCACCAGTCCCAGGGGATTGAGTCAGAATATAATCTGTCAAAAATGCTGTATCAGTCAGCTTTGTGTTACTGTAATAAAATACCTGAGATAATCAACTTAATAAGAGAAAAGGTTTATTTGGCTCACAGTTTCAGAGGTTTCAGATACAAGCCTGATCAAAAAGAAAATCTCTCCTATCCCAGAGTGTGGCCAAAAGAATATTGTCACAAAGCAGATGAAAATTGTAAACAGATCTGCTACCATAAAATGCAAAATAATAATGAGTCAGTCATCTCTATAAAGTAAGAGCTTAAAGCAAATGTGTACATTCCTGGGAGATTAGATGGCAAGATAACAGAAGACACTGAAGCCACTCAGAGAGTAAAGAAATGAAAAAATTAAAGCATTTAATAAATGAAAGCCAGCTTGACAGCAGCACAAAGGAGAATAGATACAGGAGGACAAGACGCACGCAGAGTTACAGAATAAAATGAAAACGTGCAGAATTCAGAAGGCCTAGTGCTTATACAAGTTAATGTTTTTGATATTAATACACGTTAATATGTGTTCACACACACACACAGACACACACACACAGACACACACAAACACACACACAGACACACAAACACACACAGACACACACACAGACACACACACACAGACACACACACAGACACACACACAGACACACACACAGACACAGACACACACACAGACACACACACACACACACACACACAGACACACACAGACACACACACACACACACCCCTAACCAATGTGCGCCACTCCCAGGCACCAGGGCTGACATGAGCCTAAATCCTTTAGACCTAGTCACCCACAGATGTGTCTTCACCTCCCAGTGACAACAGGTCTTGGTCCTGGACAGGAGGGTGTCGAACTGAGGGTTGGAGCAGGGAGCACATGGGCTCGTGACCTTCATCAGGCCTCGATCGATTCTTCACGGGTGACGCGCCTGAGAGCTGGTGTCTGGTGTGGAACTGAGAAGAGGCCGGCGGGCAGGGCATGGCCCTCCCCCTTTCCACCCTGGTCTGACACCCACCCCCTCTCAGTCTGACGTGGTGGTCCACAGGCTCCTCCTGGTCCTCGCAGTTGGCCCGAGGTGTGCTGCGCGCTGTCCCGGTGGCCACAGGAGTTGGCACTTCCGTTGGCTCTAGGATAAGAAAGACGGGATCTTGGAAAACCAAATCACAGGATGTGATCTCTGGATTCTCTGCTTCCTCAGGAACCTTGGGGTGATGGTGTGCTCCGCCCTGTGTGACGTGGGTGGGATCTTCACTCCCTTCATGGTCTTCAGGCTGATGGAGATTTGGCAAGCCCTGCCCCTTGTTCTGTTTGGTAAGACCTCATGAGCCTGCGCCCCCTCCTTTGCAGCCTGCGGGGCACAGTGTGGTCCTCGACTGCTCCCCGACCCTGTGAGGATGGAGCACCCTCTTCAGCTGTCTCTGGGGAAAGAGAAGATACAATTTCTAGGAAATGGCCAGAGATTTATATCCAATGGCTCCCAAATCCAGTCATTCATTCCAGGGCAAGATTCAACTGGCCTTTGAACAGCCTCCTGCTTCCTGTGCCTTCAATGGCTAACTGGCTGCATTTACTGTGAGCGCGGGAGGTCTGAAGGTGCTGAACTCACCCCCTTCTCCTTCTGGAGCTAAGAAATGGAGGCAGGACGTGAGACAAGTGGGAATCAAAGTGCCATATCGGCTTTACTGCTGATAAAGTTGGATAGTGAAAGAGGAGGGAGCTACTCCTTCTTCCCCCAGCCTTGAGCTTGGGCCCTCCAAGACCTGCTTACCTGGTTGGTAGACAGCAAAACGGCTGTTCTTGGGCAGAGACCTGCCATGCACAGGTGATAGCAAGGGGGAGAGGAGGGGTGGGAGGAGGAGAGGGGGAGAGGAGGGGTGGGAGGAGGAGAGGGGGAGGGAGGATAGAAGGGAGAGGAAGGGGGAGAGAGGAGGGGAGGGAGGAGAAAGTAATTATACATATGTGTGTTATGCTCTATACCCATACCTGTCTATCTACAGATCTACCTATCTACCTATCTATCATCTATCTATCTCTCTATCTATAGATCTATCTACCTGTCTATCATCTATCTATCTCTCTATCTGTCTATAGATCTATCTATCTATCTCTCTATCTATAGATCTATCTATCTCTCTATCTCTATCTATAGATCTATCTATCTCTCTATCTCTCTATCTATAGATCTATCTATCTATCTATCTCTCTATCTATAGATCTATCTATCTATCTATCTCTCTATCTATAGATCTATCTATCTATCTATCTATCATCTATCTATCTATCTACAGATCTATCTATCTATCATCTATCTATCTATCTATCTACAGATCTATCTATCTACCTATCTATCATCTATCTATCTATCTACAGATCTATCTATCTATCATCTATCTATCTCTCTATCTATCTACAGATCTATCTATCTACCTATCTATCATCTATCTATCTATCTACAGATCTATCTATCTATCTATCTATCTATCATCTATCTATCTATCTATAGATCTATCTATCTATCTCTCTATCTATAGATCTATCTATCTATCTATCTCTCTATCTATAGATCTATCTATCTATCTATCTCTCTATCTATAGATCTATCTATCTCTCTATCTATAGATCTATCTATCTATCTATCTCTCTATCTATAGATCTATCTATCTCTCTATCTATAGATCTATCTATCTATCTATCTCTCTATCTATAGATCTATCTATCTCTCTATCTATAGATCTATCTATCTATAGATCTATCTATCTATCTCTCTATCTATAGATCTATCTATCTATCTATAGATCTATCTATCTATAGATCTATCTATAGCTCTATCTATAGGTCTATCTATCTATCTATCTATCTATAGGTCTATCTATCTATCTATCTATAGATCTATCTGTCTATAGATCTATCTATCTATCTATCTATCTATAGATCTATTTCTCTATCTATAGATCTATCTATCTATCTATCTATCTATCTCTCTATCTATAGATCTATCTATATATCTGTAGATCTATCTATTTCTCTATCTATCTGTCTATAGATCTATCTATCTATCTATCTATCTATCTATCTATAGATCTATTTCTCTATCTATAGATCTATCTATCTATCTATCTCTCTATCTATATATCTGTAGATCTATCTATCTCTCTATCTATAGATCTATCTATATATCTGTAGATCTATCTATTTCTCTATCTATCTATCTATAGATCTATCTATCTGTCTATCTTCTATCACAGCCGTCAGCATTGAGTCTCACATTCTTCTTGAGGCACGCGGCTCAACATTCCCCGCTAACCCTTGACATCAGTTACTATGGAGCTCCCCTCTTTTGTGGAGGTACACAGGCACCTTTCCTTTCCTTCCTCTTGCCTTCCCCCACTACCCCATCCTTTTCTTTCCTAAATGTCCCTGACAAGGTTTTGACAATAAGCCGGGTCTCTCCCCTCCTCTCCCCATTGCCTAGACGTCTCTTTGGTTGGCTGTGAACCTTTCTGGAGGTGGAGATGTCTGTGCTCTAACCCTCCTCTTGCGATCTGTCTCATTGAAGGGGTGTTGGGCCTGACGGCCGGAGGCGTGACGCTGCTTCTTCCCGAGACCAAGGGCGTTGCTTTGCCTGAGACCATCCAAGATGCTGAGAACCTCCAGAGGTGAAGTCCGGGGTGCTGGGGTGGGGAGATGTTAGCCCTGCCCTCTAGAAGGGTCACAGTATCACTCCACACACTCTCTTTCTTCCATCTTTTCTTTAAAATTTATTTTTTATTAGCTCTAATCAGTTACACATGACAGCAGATAGCTTTTTGATTTGCTGTGCACAAACGGAGCACAACTAACTATTCATTTCTCTGGTTGTACACCATGTAGAATCGCAGCACATGTGCAGTCAGAGATGGACCTAGGGTGATGATGTCTGTCTCATTCCACTGTCTTTCCTACCTCCATGCCCTCTCCCCTTCCCGCCCTCCCCTTGGCCGGATCAAATTCCTCCATTCTCCCCACCCCCACCCCATTATGGATCACATCCACTTGTCAGAGAGAACATTCGGCTTTTGGATTTGGGGATTAGCTTAATACACTCAGCATGATATTCATCCATTTACCTGCAAATGCCATGATTTTATTCTCTTTTAATGCCAAGCAATAATCCATTCTGAAAATATACCACAGTTTCTTTATCCATTCATCTATTGGAGGGTATCTAAGTTGCTTCCACAGTTTAGCTACTATGAATTGAGCTGCTATGAAATTGAGGTGGCTTCGTTACTATACTATGCTGTTTTTAAGTCCTTTGGATATAGACAGAGGAGAGAGATAGCTGGGTCAAATGGTGGTTCCATCCCTAGTTTTCTTTCTTTCTTTTTTTAAATATTTTTTTTAGTTGTAGATGGACACAATGCCTTTATTTAATTTATTTATTTTTATGTGGTGCTGAGGATCGAACCCAGGGCCTCACATGCGAGTGCTCTACCCCTGAGCCACAACCCCAGCATCTGGTTCAGATTCTTTAGTGATTTTTCTTTTTTTTTTTCATTAGTTGCTCAAGATAATACAATGATCTTGACATATCATACATTTGACTCATATAGGGTGTGAATTCTCATACAAAAAAATGGCTTGAAGTCTTGATTCTCGTAATGGAGTGTGCTTTCGTAGAGTTTCAGATTCTATTCTTAAAGCTCTTTAAAAAAAGAAAGAAAGAAAAGAAGGAAGGAGAGAAGGAAAAGAAAGCAAAAGTCTCCAGTGAAGCAGTCAATCTCTCAGGCCCATTTCCAGGCTCAGTTCCAAGGATTTTGTAGCCAGACACGGTCCCTGTGCAGTAGAGAGTGGCCCCTGGAGTCATAAGGACCTGGGCCTAAATCCGACATGGTCCTGAGACTTTGGGAATGTCACTGAGCCCTTCAGAGCCTGAATTTCCTTCCCTGTAATATACCACATCGTCCGTCCCTAACTTAGAGGGCTGCCGCAGAAATTCAGTAGCTGAGGTCAGTGACTGTGATTGATCTATTGCCTTATCTTACTGGATGTTCATTACATCTCAGATTTTCTCCACTTTTCTTGCAAATTGTATGATTTCTTCAATGATTCTCAAAACTTTGGATGCAGAAGAATCACAAGGGAAGTTGCAAACATGCAAACATGTTCCCCCTACTAGGACTACTCTTAGCCGCCACAGGAAAATCTGCCCAATTCGGCCTTCATCCTTGATTACCTTCTGCCATGGAAGGTCCATCCCCTGTATCAGCTTTACTTCACTCCAGCACAATAGTAGTAGCAGGAGTTTTCCTCCTTATCCGCTTCTACCCACTAATAGAACATAATCAGACTATTCAAACACTTACTCTCTGTCTAGGAGCTATTACCACCCTATTCACCGCTATCTGTGCTCTAACCCAAAATGACATTTAAAAAATCATCGCATTCTCTACTTCAAGTCAATTGGGATTAATAATAGTAACTATTGGAATTAATCAACCTCACTTAGCATTTCTTCATATTTGCACACATGCATTCTTCAAAGCTATATTATTCATATGTTCAGGATCAATTATTCATAACCTGAACGACGAACAAGACATTCGAAAAATAGGAGGTTTATTTAAAGCCCTTCCATTTACCTCATCTTCACTTATTGTTGGCAGCCTAGCACTAACAGGAACTCCCTTCCTAACTGGATTCTACTCTAAAGACCTAATTATTGAATCTGCTAACACGTCGTATACCAACGCCTGAGCCCTAACTATTACTCTCCTTGCCACCTCCCTAACCGCTGTCTACAGTACACGAATTATCTTCTATGCCCTAATAGGACAACCTCGATTTTCTACACTAACCTCAGTTAACGAGAATAACCCTCAACTGCTTAATTCAATTAAACGCCTTCTTATTGGCAGCATTATTGCAGGATTTATCCTTTCATACAATATTCCACCTATAAATATTCCAGTCCTAACCATACCTATTTACCTAAAACTTACAGCACTATTAGTAACCATCTTAGGGTTTGTTATTGCTATAGAACTAAACTCAATAACTCTTTATCTTCAAACCAAAATATACTCAAGCACATCAAAATTTTCAACCTTACTAGGCTATTTTCCTCTATTATTCACCGACTTAACCCCCATCTCAACCTTATTATAAGCCAAAAATTATCATCAACCCTTCTAGACCTAATCTGACTAGAAAAAACTATCCCTAAATTTACCGCTAATCTTCATTCAATAGCCTCTACTATAACCTCTAACCAAAAAGGCCTCATCAAACTATATTTCTTATCATTTTTGACTTCAACACTCCTAGCAATCATAACCATATTCTATTTCCACGTGTAATTTCAATCACAATAAAAATACTAACAAACAATGATCAACCAGCTACAACCATTAATCAACTTCCATAACTATACATAGCCGCCACCCCTATTGAATCTTCACGAATTAATCCCAACTCATCCCCTTCAAATATTATTCAATTCTCCGAATCCTTAAACTCAACTACAATTTCTACCTCATCATATAAAATTATAAGTATAATAATTAAGAACTCTGCTAAAAATCCCAGCAACAAAACCCCTCAAATGACTACATTTGACCCTCATGTCTCTGGGTACTCCTCCGTTGCTATAGCCGTAGTAAAACCAAATACCACCAACATCCCTCCTAAGTAAATTAAAAATACTATTAAACCTAAAAAAGACCCCCCAAAATATAACACAACCCCACATCCAATTCCCCCACTAACAATCAACCCTAAACCTCCATAAATAGGAGAAGGCTTTGAAGAAAATCCCACGAGGCCTAAAACAAAAAGTATACTTAACAAGTACGTAATATATGTCATTATTTTTACATGGAATCTAACCATGACCAATGACATGAAAAATCATCGTTGTTATTCAACTATAAAAACACTAATGACAAACACCCGCAAAACCCATTCTCTAATTAAAATTATTAATCACTCCTTTATTGATTTACCTGCGCCCTCTAATATTTCAACATGATGAAACTTTGGATCTCTACTAGGCCTCTGCCTAGCTATCCAAATCCTTACCGGATTATTTCTAGCAATACACTACACATCCGATACCATAACAGCCTTCTCATCAGTTACCCACATCTGTCGAGACGTAAATTACGGTTGACTTATCCGCTATATACATGCTAACGGTGCATCAATATTTTTTATCTGCCTCTTCCTTCATGTAGGCCGAGGGATATACTATGGCTCATACACCTACTTTGAAACATGAAACATTGGAGTTATTCTCCTATTTGCAGTAATAGCTACAGCTTTTATAGGCTATGTTCTCCCCTGAGGTCAAATATCATTCTGAGGAGCAACCGTAATTACCAATCTTTTATCTGCTATTCCATACATTGGTACAACCTTAGTTGAATGAATCTGAGGTGGATTCTCAGTAGACAAAGCCACTCTAACACGATTCTTCGCATTCCACTTTGTTCTTCCATTTATCATTGCAGCCCTAGTCATAGTTCATCTCCTTTTCCTCCATGAAACTGGATCAAACAACCCTTCAGGCCTTATTTCTGACTCAGATAAAATCCCCTTTCACCCATACTACACTATCAAGGATATCCTCGGAGTTCTTCTCCTTATTTTAATTTTAATAGCCCTAGTTTTATTTTCGCCCGACCTTCTAGGAGATCCTGATAATTATACACCTGCAAATCCCTTAAGTACACCACCTCATATTAAACCAGAATGATACTTCTTATTTGCCTACGCTATTCTCTGATCTATTCCCAATAAACTAGGAGGTGTTTTAGCCTTAGTCTTCTCAATTCTTATTTTAATACTCTTTCCACTACTCCATTTATCTAAACAACGTAGCATAATATTTCGACCATTAAGTCAATGTATATTTTGAATCCTAGTAGCAGACCTATTTACACTGACCTGAATCGGAGGACAACCTGTTGAATACCCATATATTATCATTGGCCAACTAGCATCAATTCTATACTTCGCTATTATTCTCTTAATTTTACCAACCGTTAGCCTAATCGAAAATAAACTTCTTAAATGAAGAGCCCTAATAGTATAAATATTACCTTGGTCTTGTAAACCAAAAATGAAGTTATAAGCTTCTTAGAGCAGTGTATCAGGGAAGAAAATATACTTTCCACCTTCAACTCCCAAAGCTGACATTCCTTACTTAAACTATTCCCTGCACTCGACCAGTTGCTTAAATTTTGACTTCTATGTCACTATCAACTTTTATTCAATGATCCATTCTCCTATGTAAATCGTGCATTTAATGCTTTTCCCCGTTAAGACATTACTAATCCATGTACATAGGACATTATATGTTTAATCAACATTAATAATACTCCCACCATGCATATAAGCACGTTCATAATACTAACATAGTACATAATACAGTACCTTATAACTTCACATTAAATGCTTGCCAATACGACTGTGGTCACTCAAATAATCCCTGTTCAAAGTACATAGTACATTAATATCACTGGCGGTACATACCACATTAAGTCATAAACCTTTCTCGCTCCAAATGACTATCCCCTACCAACTTTGGTCTCATAATCTACCATCCTCCATGAAACCATCTACTCACCCACGTCGTGTCCCTCTTCTTGCTCTGATCCCATTTAACTTGGGGGTAGCTAATTATGTACTTTATCTGGCATCTGGTTCCTACCTCAGGGCCATAAATCGCATAATCGCCCACTCGTTCCCCTTAAATAAGACATCACGATGGATTAGTTCCATTCTAGCCCGTGACCCAACATAACTGCACTGTCATGCCTTTAGTGGTTTTATTTTGGGGGGGATGCAGGGACTCACCATTGGCCGTCAGAGGCCTCGTTCCATTCAATTCAATTGTAGCTGGACTTATTAGTCAATATTCTCGCTTTACATAACTACTATCTGCCATAGTCGGGCTTAATGCTCGATAGACAAAAAAAAAAAGTTTAAACAGAAATTCCATAGTAGATCCAAATGCAAAAATAAACGTTTAACCAATTATCTTTTTCTCCAAACCTATTTAAATCTTCTTACCTGCTTTAAATTTTATTAACTTCTTTCTCAGTAGATTAAACTTATAAATAAAATTTGATTAAATCTCCTTATATAATTATACTATATTATACTTACACTAATAATACTTACATATAACTCTGTTTACCAAATCTTATATAAGCATATCTCCCCAAAATTCATATGTTAATGTAGCTTAATTTAATAAAGCAAAGCACTGAAAATGCTTAGATGGGTATTTATACCCCATAAACACATAGGTTTGGTCCTGGCCTTTTCATTAGCTTCTAGCTAACTTATACATGCAAGCATCCCTGTCCCAGTGAGAATGCCCTCTATATCTATTAACTGATCAAAAGGTGCAGGCATCAAGTTCACTAATCCTGGTAGCTCATAACGCCTTGCTCCACCACACCCCCACAGGAGACAGCAGTAATTAAAATTAAGCCTATAAATGAAAGTTTGACTAAGTTAAGCTAAATTAAGAGTTGGTAAATTTCGTGCCAGCCACCGCGGTCATACGATTAACTCTAGTTAATGAAACACGGCATAAAGCGTGATTAAGAGACTAATCAGATAAGATTAAAATAATATTAAACCGTAAAAAGTCTTGATAATAATGAAAATCAAATACGAAAGTAATCTTAAATTTTCTGAATTCACGATAGCTAAGATCCAAACTGGGATTAGATACCCCACTATGCTTAGCCCTAAACATAAACATTCAATAAACAAGAATGTTCGCCAATGTTCTTGACTTAGGTAATGAAAGTGGGGCCCTGGCAGCTGTTTGAATAAGCTCTGCCGGTGATGCCCGCGCAGACAGGTGCTCTCTGAACCAACACACGCTTCCTCCAGTGGCCGATGATGTCCTTCTCTTGGGTCCAGGTGGTAGGAATGTTGTATTGTTGGTTTTACTGTATTGCTTTCTATCTTGTTGACAGGCCCCTGGTCCTCTCCTAGGGTGCTGTGTTCAATACTCACTCCATTGCCATGGTTGCACCTGCCCTCCAGGGAGACCAGGTGCTCTGGCCCGAGCCCCCATCCACACCTCCTCTGCTCTCCACAGTGCTCTTCCCGTTTCATAATACCCCAATTTCATTGTTTGTCGTCTCCTCTATATAACTCCATACGCAGTTCCAATCCATTGACAGAGTGATCACTTCTGTGACTCCTATGTCCCTGCTTTGGGGAGACATCAGGGATGAGTGCAGTGGTGGCCCTAACTGACCTTTGTGGAGTGCTACTGCCTGCCCAGCTCAGTGGAAGCACTTGGTGCGTCCTCCTCATCCTCCCAAGCCCTGCTCAGCACCTGCTGTTTTTTTGCAGACTCCTTCTACAGATGAAGGATTAATGACAGCCCCCCCCCCCAAAGCCTCCAGATCCAAGATGGAGTGTTGACTATTAGGTGCCTGTGGTAGGCAGCAGCTCCATGGGCGTCCACCCCAGGGGGCTGCCAAATTCCCCTGAACGGGCAGGTGAATCCCGCAGGCCTGGGCATCTATTGCTGTGACTCAGTTCTGTCCCCATAGCAGAAAGCAGCCTAGACAACAGCTACCTAAGTGGGTGAGTCTGGTTTCTAATACAGGTTTATCTACGGACGTGGAAATTTGAATTTCATTTACAAGTGCCACAAAATATTTTCATTTTGATTTTTTCCACCAATTTAAACATAATAATAATAAGAAACCTCCACTCACAAACCTGACACAAGCAGGCCACAAGCCAGACCTGGCCCTGGCTCCTTTGTCAACCCATTTTCCTCGTCGCTTGCTCTCCTGGGTCTCTCTGTATGTTTGAGATACTCTGCACACAGCTTTGCAACCCTAATAGAGATGTTGACTGCTTCTTAATTTTGACTTTTAATTTTCATTTCTGGTTGCCACAGGAAAGCGAAGCCCAAAGAAAACACAATTTACCTTCAGGTCCAAGCGTCGGAACTCAAGGGCACCTGAGAGGGAGCTGGCTCTGAGAAGAAAAGGCAGACGTGTCTCAAAGGTCTTGACTTCTCTGTATTTTCCCTCAGACTTGCTGCCCCCCAATTAATATCAATCCTATAGAATGGTCTGAGTGGGCTCTGCCATACTTTGTCTTGCTTTTTTAACCCTGTGAAGCCCTGGTTATCTTTTACCTATTCATCCATTTCTAGTGAGAACTGCTGGTTCAGTGGGTATCAAGCACTTAATCACCTAAAGTATTTGAAGATCCAAGAGAATTTAAATATTGCTATTAAAAGACCTCTGTAGCATTTTTTTTTCTAGAATAACTATTGCTTTATTCACACTCTGGAAGAAAATGCCTTGGCAATTGTGGGTTTCCATGTGGGCAAGAGCATTTCAGTGTAGATTATTTGGCAGGAACTGGATTTTAAACATGGCGGCTCTTCCAGCAAATTGTATCCCAGTTATGCTTAAATATGTGTGATGGAGGAGAACATGATCGTCTTGTGGAGTCCAGAAGCACTGTGACCACATTAGGAAGACGTTTCTGTCTCCTGTATTCCAGGAACATGTGACTCCAAGATACTCTAGGTTTGGGTTTTTGTTGGTGATTCTAGAAGGTGAACCAAATTGCCTCTGTGAGATAGCTTAGTGAACCCACCAAAAAGAGCTCACCTTACCACAGGTTTTGTGCTCCTCGATGCTGTGCAGTGAGTGATCTTGGAGTGGAGGACACAAAAACTTCCATTTAAATTTTATTGACCTGTGAGACAACCCAAAAGACAACGTATAAGCCAGTCCCCAGGAAAGTTCCTCCTGGGACCTGGAGGTCTGAAGAAATGCAGGTGGTTGTATGAAAAACATTCACAGTCTGATCCAGCTGAGATAAGCCATGGCCACAGGCTGCAGGCCGAGAGACCAGGGGAACTGGACCAAGCGTGAGCACGCTGGCTGGCTGTTGAGGATGGACAAGGCTGAGGCGTAGCTCAGTGGTGGAGCACTTGCCTGGTGTGGGTGAGCCCTGGGTCTTGTCCTCGGTGCAGGGGAAAAAGTATGTAGGATAGAGGGGAGAATGGAAATCTACAGCTTTGCCCTTGGCCAAAAAAGGCCCGTCTTTCTAGTTTTGGGTGAAGAGAACGTACAGAACACAGTGCTTCATCCCAGCCTCCCTCCAGCAAGGCCTCGCTGTGTCAGCACTTTCCGACCCTCAAGATGATGTGGTTCACTGGTAACAAGTGTGTAAATCGTAGGCTTCTCATAATATTTTTCAAATGTGTATTAAAAGCATCCGTCTAATGTGTCTTGGAATCCTCTTGGCAACACCTGGAGGAAGACTTTACACACAGAAGTGTCTTCATTAAAAACAATGACACCCCCACACCCCCACCCTGACTTCCTGCTGCCCTCTAGACCTGTGAGACTGTCTAGGGTGTGGGCTGTTCTTGGAGATGAGGCCCAGCAGGGCCGACTTAGAGGGCAGGCAGCTGGGGCACGGCAAGATTTGTCGGAAGAGTGAAGTGTGTCTGCGGAGGTGACTTCCTCCTGGTGTCTCTGTCCATGCTGTCTGGGGTAGGGGGGGGACAGAGGGTCATTCCAGGAACCGACTTGTGCACAGAGAGGGCATTGGGGACCCGCCTCTCCTCGCCTTCTCACCGTCACTGCCCTCCGGCCAAAGTCAACCTAGATAAAGGTGGGTGGAAGAGGGGTCATCTGGAGGCCCAAAAGTGTTGGTCAGGGGGACGGATGGTGTGGAACACTCGGAGAGCCTGGCTCTGTGACTCAGGCACCAGGAGACATCAAAAGCTCCTGGTAAGCGTGTTACCCAACAGCCTGGGCTCCTCACCCGGTCTCCAAGAAGCCCATCTACAGCAAGCGCGGCAAACTGTGTGTGGGGGGGACCTCATATCACTGAGGGGCCCAGAGGGCAGCCAAGGTCCCAGTCACTGAGGGGCACAGAGGGCAGCCAGGGATGGGGGTGACAAGCACCAGGAGCAGACAACCACCTCTAAAAGTGGGTGGAAGGAGTGCAGGGTCCACTGTCCCTTCCCCGGTCCTGCCCCAGACCTTTCCTTCAGCGCCTGGAGCTCAGCCTTCAGCAGTTTCTCTGTGGGCCTCGAAGCCTCCCCACTGTGGTGGACGGAGTCAAGCCCACCTTGGTCATCAAGCAACGGGTTTGTGGACCACCGGTCAGCTGAGGGCAGAACAGGGCCTCAGCAGGAGTCTGGAGGTCCAGGACGCCTACATGTCTTAATGCCTGGGGGCGGTGGCCCACAGAGGAAGCCGTCCTTCCAGCCTTGTCCTGCGGTCCTAGGTAGAGATCAGACTCAATCATGGGCCTCAAATTTAGGTCTCCTGGACCAGAACACAGGAGAAATGTAAGTTTGGAAACAAAACAGGAAGGAGGGGGCAGGAACCTGCTCCAAGAGTGAGTTCCCAGCTCCCAGCATTCCCGACTGTGTCCCCTGCCCAGGCCGTGGGCACTGAGGAGGACAGACGGGATCTAAATCACCTGGGTGGTGTTCAGAGATTCCATCCTGAGCCCTGGCGTCTGGGCACCCTGTGCTGGCTTGCGAAGCGTGCTCTTCAGCCTGGAAGGGAGGAGCCTGTCCTATTTTAGGCTCATGCCTGAGAAATAAGTATTTGAACTTTCTGTGCCATTCTTAAAGGGACGTGCGTGTACTTTTGAGCTACCTACACACCCACACATGCCACAGACCATACGCAGCCACATGCCTAAGGCTGGTGGTGTCAGGGCTCAGAAAAGAGTACCCCAAAGCATAGTGTTTTTTTTGGTTTTGTTTTAAAGAAAAACCGAGTTCTCTCTGACCTTCTCCTGCCTTTGTGCCTCTCAGCGCTTCTCCCCTGGAGCATGAAGGGGCTTTCTCTGACTTTCCCTCATCTGACCCTTGATGTTGCCGTGGAGGGCAACATCACGAACCCCTCCCTGGAATCCCATCGACAGAGAAGAGTAACTGGAATCACAGGAAAGGAGACTTGAGCTCAGCCCCTACCTCCCTCTCTGAGGGTCCCCCTGGGGGACTATCTGCCTAACAAGACAGCCTTTGTCCCCACCTTCCATGTCCAGGCATTTCCCCGATTCTGTTCCTTTGCTTAGGGCACTGTAAAACTCGGACCATCTGGCCCTTCTTCAAGTCCTCCTTGTGAGGCTCCCGTGAGTGTGCGCGTAGTGACGTCCTATCCCTTTCCGCCAGTTAATCTGTCCATTGCCAGTTAATTCTAGAGACTCACATTACCAGACCTCTGGAAAGAGAAGGTTATAACTCCCTTCACTGTTGATGCAGGTATTCAATTAACCCCACACTCCTCCTGAGAGGGCAAAGCCTGCTTTCTCGACTCACCTCACAGTTTAATTAAAATAAATCTGAGACTCTGGTTGCCGGGGAGTGGAGAAATGGCAAGATAGCAACCTAAAACCATAACCGCGCAGATTCACTCAGAACAGGGGGCCGTCCTAGGCGCCTTATTCCACCCCCCTGGTGATGTTGGTAGCATCACCTAATTGGAGAGAAAAGGCACCTGAGGTGCAGAGGCCACGTGGCTCACCCCATGTCACCAGGTAGTAAGCAGGAGACCTGTGTGCCCTCCAAGTCCATTTTTAGCCAAGAAGCTGTGCTTCCTCCTGAGGTCCAAGCAAGCAGCCTTATGAGCAATAGCCAAAAAAACAAGTCCAAACCAAAGCACCCTTCTCCCGAGAACCAGAAAGCCCTCTCGGGGCTGGCCCTAGCGGGAGGTTCTGAGGTGGCTGTGGGTGATCTTGGAGGCCTGTTCTCTTCAGAGCCGTGGTCATCAGGCGGCTCTCTGAAACTGGCGCTGTGCAGAGTTCTCCACGATTATTCTTAAATGGCAGTTTTTGATTCCTACTTCTTTTTAAAAAGTTAAAAATTCCAAGAAACATACAAAAAAGTAGAAGTCATTTCAAATCTCAGCACCTAGGAAGGTCCTATAGGAGAATGAGAGTCGCCGCACTGCCCTCAGCCTGGCCCCCAGGGAGTCGCATGGACAGTGCGGGAGCTGCCCTTTCCAGGTGGAGTACGTGCATGGAGACAAGGTGGGATGGAGTTTGGGGACACCAGGGATGTGTGTAGTCCCCACACTGTCCCCTGCCACCTCTGGCCACTACACCAGCAGCCGTGGCTTGGAGCTGAGCTGTCACAGGAGAACCAGAGAACAATGCGGGCAGACTCCTGGCGAGGTTGCAGTTGGGGCCGACAGAGGTTCAGAACAGGAGGAGACCAGCTGCTCTGGGTGGGAAGACAGCAGAAGCCTGGAGAGAGGGACTGAGGACTCGGTGCTGGTCTCTGAGAAAGAGACCAGTGGAACTGGTCGCCTCTCAGCTCTGCTGACCCTTGACCCAGCACCAGCGCCCCAGGTGGTGGGACTCTGGGTTAAATTTGCCTAAGAATAATCAAACTCTCCAGAATGATCTACCTCGAGGAACTACAAAAGCAAGAAAAAGCTAAACCTAAAATTCATAAAAGGAAAGAAATAAAGACCAGAATGGAAACAAATGAGAGACAAAACAAAAACCAGAAGATGAATGAAATGAAAAGTTGTTTCTTTGAAAAATATCAACAAAACGTTTGCGAGGCTAAGAAAAACAGAAAGACTCAGATAAAATCAAAGATGAGAAAGGAGAGATTACGAGGGATACCACAAAATACGAATGTGGAATTTTGAGTGTGAAAGACCTCTAGAAACTACTGAGCAATTATATGCCAACAATTTGGAAAGCCTAGAAGAAATGGAGAAATTCCTAGATGCATACAACCTAGCAAGACTAAATCAAGAAGAAATAGAAATCTAAACAGACCAATAATGACTAAAGAGATTGAGTAATAAAAAGTTCCCTTCAAAGAAAAGTTTAGATTAACTGACTTCACTGCTGTATTCAAAGAACTAATACTAATTCTTTAAAAATCACTCTAAAAGATGGAAAGGAAGAAACTCTCCCAAACTCATTCTATGGGCTGACATTACCCTGATACTAAAACAGACAAGGAAGAAACAGGAAGGAGGGGAGGGGTGGAGGGAGGGAGGGAGAGAGGGAGGGAGGGAGGGAGGGAGGGAAGAGAAAGCAAGAAAGCAGAAAAGAAAACTATAGGCCAATATCCTTGATAAATATAGATGCAAAAATTCTCAGCAAATTACTAGTAAACCAAATCCAACAGCACCTCAAAAAGAATGGGATTTTTCCAAGAGCTGCAAGAATGGTTCAACCTATGCAAGTCGATAACCACACTACATGACATCAAGAGAATGAAGGGCAAAACCACATGATCATCTCAATAGACACAGAAAAAGCATTTGATAAAATTTTCCATCCCTTCAAGATTAAAAACTCTGAACAAATTAATCATTGAAGGAATGTACCTCAACACAATGACAATTATATATGAGAAAACCACAGTTAATATCATACAGAACAGGGAAAAGTAGAAAGTTTTTCCTCTAAGATCTGGAACAAGACAAGGATGCACACTTTCACTTTTATTTAACTTTGTACTGCAAATTCAAGGCAAGCAATTCAACAAGAGGAAAAAAAAATAATGGGTAACCAATTTGAAAGGAGGAAGTCAACTTGTTCTGGCTAAATTGATCTTATATGCAGAGAAACCTAAAGACCCCACCAACAAACTGTTACAACTGATAAATTCAGTCAAGTTGCAAGATGCAAAATCAGCTAAAAAACGAGTAGCATTTCTATCACCAATAATGAACTAGCTGAAGAAGAGAGGAATCCCATTTACATAACTACAAAAATTAAATAGAAGAAAACACATAGGAATAAATTTAACCAAAGAGATGAAAACATAGAAATTTTGATGAAAGAAAGTGATGATCACAAAGAACACACACACACAGGCACACACACACAAACACACACACACACACACACACACACACACAAGACATCCCATGTCCATGGGTTGGAAGATTTAATGTTGGTAAAATGTACAAACTACCCCTAAGTGATCCACAGATCCAATTCAATCCCTATCAAAATTCCAATTGCATTCTCCAAAGAAATAGAAAGATCTAATCCCAAAATTCGTATGGAACCACAAATAGTCAAAGGAATCTTGAGCAAAAGAACAAAGTTAGAGGCATCACAACACCTGACTTCAAAACCTATTACAAAACAATAGTAACCCAAACTGTATGGCACTGGCATAAAAACAGACACAAAGATCAATGGAACAGCACAGAGAACTAGGAAACAAATCCACATATTTACAGCTAACTAATTTTCAACAAAAGTGCCAATAACATACGTTGGAG